TTCATTGCGACTATAATTTTCAGCATTGTTTAAATATTCTGGATCTGAGTATCTTATTGTACCTAATCTTTTAGAAGCCTCTATTGAAGGATCCAATAAGAATTTGGAAATTCCAAAGTCACAAATTTTAATATTTCCATTATGAATGAGAATATTTTTAGAATGCTGTTAAAATATCAATGTTAGTTATTACTATTAAAATAATTAATGTAGATAAATAATGTTTATACATACCAAATCTCTATGTACTATTTTATTTTCATGTAAATGTCTTACAGCACTTACAATTTGTTTTGCAAATTTTAATTTGATATTCCAATCCATTATATTGAAATTGTATTTTAAATAATCACACAAATTACCATTGTTTGCATATTCTAATACAAACATGTAATTTTTTTTATTTTTTTCTTTAATGATATGTAAAAAATTTAATTAAAAAAGTACAATAAATATATTGTAAATCAATGATAATAAAAAGTCAACATACTTTCTTTTGTTATGCCATAAAATCTTAATATATTACTGTGATGTTCTACTTTAAGATGTTGTATTGCCTTTAAAAAAAATCATTTGTAAATGTTTTGTTAATATATATATAATAAAATATCAAATGAAAAAAAAAATTTTTACCTCATTAAGAAGTTGTTGAAAAGTATATTTTTGATCTACATTAATGGATTTTAATGCCACAAATCCTTGATGGTGCTTTGAATATGCACAAGAAATTGTTCCAAATGATCCACCATCAATAATTTTAATATTTTGAAAAGAATTATAATCAAGAAATAAAATATGTTCTCTTTTAAGTTGATTTTTAAACCATTTTTCCCCCTCTGAAATAGATTCTACATTCATTTTTAATTGTAATTTTAATGATCTTAATTGTAATTTTAATGATTTTAATAGTAATTTGAAGTTTTTTGATATTTTTTTTTTTTTGTCTACTTTGCTCTATCATTTCAACAAATGTCTTTGTTGAACTTTCAAAAAATCCACAGCCAAGTCTCTTTGTCATATTCATTCCTTCTTCACTCAACACCTCACATTCTGTATGCCTTTCACATTTATTTCCCACAAGTATAGATGGAATTTTATTAGAGCCTTTTATTCTTATCATTTGATCTTTAAACCTTTTTACTTGTTCAAATGTTGAATGTGATGATATAGAATATACTAGAAGAAATCCTTCTCCATCTCTATATATTTATATGTATAAGTGTTTAATTCTAACAATTGTCATTAGAAACTTTAAATTTCTTTCTACCTGATCAATTGAACCCAAAGTGGTGCATGTTCCCCTTTTATTTAAAAAAAAGATAATTATAACTATAAATAAATATTTTATTGTTTTCAATTTTATTATAAGCAAGCAACAAAGTATCACCTTGTCCTGTAGTTTCCAGCACACATAGTACACAGGGTTGATGATAAGTCTAAAAAATGAAAATATTGCATAGATAGAGAGGTTACTGTGTTCAAAATCGAATAAAGATAATAATTATTTTAGTTTTGATTCATGATAAAAAGAAAAATTTATACAATTTGAAAAATACATACCAACAAAATAATTTAACCAAGTTTAAAAGTCAATAAAAAATAGTAGTATTGTTAAAAATTCACCAACAATATACCTGAATTTTGAGAGCGGCCTAATTAAATAAAAGACAAATTTATTATTTTAGGTAAAAACAATGTTTTTTTTAAAAAAGCCAAATTTGTTACCTTTCCAACATTATCTGACATCTTCAGCTTAGAAAATTTAATTTATTGCCAAGAAAAAAACAATACAAAAACAGGCATCATGCAAAAA